TTATTTACATTTGTACATGTTTACAAGAACTGAGAAATCATCTTCATAATTTAGCAAAAGAGGTCTCAAGAATTCAGCAACAAACCTGTGACAAAAGCCAAAATCCAGAATAGTAGAAAAATAAAAGTGCAAATAAAGCGAAAGATACTTACACATGAGAATGTATATTATATAACAAATAGAAAAGAATAACAAGGGATAAAGTAAGGCCAAACTTAGTAATAAAAGACGTGAACATCTTGTCCGCTGTATGGAGCCACAAAGATAAACAAAACCTGCCAATTCATAAAATGTTTCATGAGGAATACGAGCAAGAAGATAAACATTCCATTTGCATATAGTGATGGATTGATTGATCAGTAATTACGAGCGCGTCAACTGCTAAGGTCATTAGGCTCATAAGTGTAGTGCATTTTTTATCACAAGATGCGACAGTGACTTCTCGCTGGATGACGAAATCCGGCGCCAACACACGTCGGCTTGTGGGCATCTTCTCCAACCAGGTATCACCCCCCAGCGTGGCACCGAGATAAGTACTAAGGGCCCCTTCCCACGGCGCGGCAGCGGCGCGCTTCGCCGCAGCGCGGCCGCGTAGCAGAGCATTGGTTTGAATGGAGGCCTTCCCACGTGCAGCGGGTGGCGGTTGCTGCGGCAGCCGACGCCGAACTCCAGCTACGCGAATCGGAGGGGCCACGCGCCACCTCTAGCAGAACACAGCTTTAATGGGGCCATCCCACGGGCGCCAGGCCGCAGCGTTCAACCTGCTCTCCGGTCGCTTTGTTCGTCGTCGCCGGAGGGTCGGCGAAACCTACCCCTCCAGACCCCACCCCCTTCCAAGGCGGGTGGCGGCGCGGCCGTGGCTGCGTCCGAAGAGCACTGCTGCTCGAAGGAAGCGCGCCGCGATCGCGCCGGGGGAAGGCGCCCTTAGCTCCCGTTTGGTCTCTTGGCATGTGTGGTAGTGTAGTGCACTTACGTGTGTGTGTAAGGGGTGAGGGCAGGACAAGGAAGAGGAAGGAATGATTGCGCGCGATCAGTGGCCCGTTTGTTAGGATACTACTCCAGCTGTTTTAGATCGGAGAAACTACGGAAAACAACCGATCAAGCAGCCAGTTGTTACAATTCACATCCAGCGACAGAATTTGACCTATCTGACAAACCCTGCCATCGTCGGGACTCGAACCCTACGACCTCTCGATCAGAGACATTGTAGTGACATCAGCTTGATGCCCTGAGCCACCTTCGCTGGCATGATCATGGAAAAATCTTAAAAAAATATACTTGGATTTGAATAAAATTGATTATGAAATATAAAGAAGGCAGATTACAGACATTGAAGAAGTGGGCAATTCAGAACATATGCAACAGAGATAGAAAAAGGAGATCGAGACAAATAAAACTAGTGGTGCAACTGCACATACTTTCTCGAAATATTTGTAACTTCTCGCATTATTTCCAGCACATCATATATGTAAACAAGGATAATTTCACATATATACTGAACATCCAAAACTAAAGGTCATTCTCTATATCTCATTATAAATACATTCGAAATGATATCATTATGCATATCGGTGTACATCTTCTTCCCGACTTAATAATTTTTAAAAAGTAGAATATACCATTTTGTTGAACATAACGAACACTGTAACGCTAACGTCAAACAAATAAAACCGCATTATTTTTTCCATTATGTCGCCGTTCAACAAAGAACTTCTCAAATATGCGTCGCTGCAATGTTGCTCAATGCAGCGTACGGTGGTAATATAAAATTATCGTAATAAGAGTTCGTAAAAATTTAGGTACTCATATTTTTCAGTTTTCCTTTCCAATTACATTTAAATCACATTTTTAGAAGATGAAATGTAATTGGGCTAATTTCAATTAAGGTTTGCGGATTGCTTGAAAGAAAATACATAAATATATAGAGAATATAAATTGTAAAATAGAGTAAAATTCGTAACGAGATTTTCAATAGAAAATTGTAATTAAAATTAAATTCTTTTGATATTCTTTTCATATTCTTTTGATGCATTTCCGTTCTTCGAGTATTTTTCTCGTGGTCCATAGTTGGTGTGACACTTGTATGTATTGCATTAATTTCAAACAGAATTTTCGCGAAAACTGTTAGTTTTTTCAAACAAATACACGGGACCTATCTATGAATGAGCTGAATTTTTAGAACTGATTTTAAGACAAAAATTTCTATCCTCCATTTTGTAGTTTCCAAATGTTAAGTTTTTGCAATTTTCGAAAAAAACGGAAACAGCCGAAAATGAGACTAGCACCATATTTTTTTTCGCCCTTTGGGACACGAGGCGAAATTTTAAAGAAAAAATTGCGCGATTGGATAAAATAATTGTTGATTTGTTTCGCGCAATATTACACAAAGATAATCATATATTTGAAAAACTGAACATGACCTTATTTCAAGACATATTTAAGGAACAGACTTCATTATTGGGAAAAATCTCTATCTTCAATTTTATAGTTGTAGTAGGACGCTGCAAAAAATTGAATTTTTCAATTTTCAAAAAAATCTGAGATTTTAAGGAATATGAAACTTGTACCACTCTCTTAAGCGTCCTTTACGCTACCCGACAACAAAATTTCATCAAAAACTTTGGACCCATTTTTGAAAATGTCCCAGGGCCTTCATGTAAAATATCCCCCAAAATCAAAAATGGGTTTCAAATTCAGGAAGCCGCGACATCACCACATCAATTGGGGAATATCAAATACGGAGGAAATCGGTTTAGGGGCTAGCGTTGATCTGACGGACAGGCAGACAATCTATTTTTCGGTATTAAAGACCCACAAAACTTGGATTCTGACTACACACCATGTTAGAGGAAGTAATTTACTGTAAGGGTAAGAGTTATCCACTTACTTGGGCCTGGCAATAAGAGTTTCTGTCAAATATTATCCGTTTTTACCTGCAACATTACAATACTTTTTCTATACAGCATAAGAAGTAGCGAAAAAGTACAAATTAGCAGGACTAGAAAACAATTAAATGAATAAATTATAAGGAACAAGAATGCTTTGTGATAGATTAGCACTCTTCGAAATTGATGTCAGAGGATTAATATAAAAACAAGATTTTAATAACCCTTAAAGTTTATAAAATAGGAGCCAAGCAAAACTGCAATAATATTTAGTTATTAGTACAAAAAAATCATGTGGGAAAGTAGCAATGGTGGATCAAGGGGGGGGGGGATGGAAGCCATGACCCCCCTCCCAAATGGTCTAGTTTTTGTTTATTGCCATCCTTTATTTAGCAAATTGTATTTAAATATTTGTTATAATAATATAATTATTTAAATAATAATATTGTATATATTATCATATATACACTTCAAAAATAATATACAATAACAAATATGTTAATTATTTCACAAATATCTATGGTGCCACTCTCCCCTCCAAAATGATCGGCTGGATCCTCCCCTGGAATGTTGTATCTCTGAACAATAAAAAAGCTTGAAAGAAAATAGTCAACAACGAAGAAAACAGAACATGTTCTTTAAAGAGTTGTTAGGAAATACAAAAGATATGTAGACATCCACATATCTTTTCTTCTCTGGAAATTATACAATAATATATATTTCAATACCTCAACAGTGGGATAAATGTCACATGTGAGAAGTTAACAGAGTATTTGAAGGAACACTAAATGAATGATAAAAATGGGTAAGAAAAAAATCTTCATTATAAAAGGTCTAAAGCAAGAAGGTTGTGGGTCCTCAACATTATTTAAAATATTCTTACAGGTGCCTTAAAAAAATGGGGGGGGGGAGGGAATGTAAATATACGAATAGGTATGGAAATTGGTTTTTGCTAGCAGATGGTTGTGTTGTAATGGCAAATAAAGATCTTGTGTACAACAGCAAATTGATTAAGGAATATCAATATGTAGGCACTGTACCTCAAATGATGACACAATGCATCCCCATCGGTAATAACAGTGCATCGAGAAAATACACAATCTTTTTGTTCCTGCTGTACTTGAAAACAAACAAGAATTATAGAAAACATCGCTTTTTTTATACATAGGATTAATATTTTTGAAATTGTCAGGAGTATCTAGTACAAATTCATTGGATTCTTCAACTTCAAACTAGTTTACCTCACAAAGTAGAGAAAGGTCATTTGATGCATATTACCATTCAAATATGGATAGAATTGTTATACAAGTACTAAATGCATTTCATGGATTATCAAAGAGAAGATGCAACAAAACAACTACAAAGCTATTATAGAACCAATTACAAGAATTAGGTGGACTCGCTCACACACAAATACATCAAGCAATTGAAATGGATTTCATGGAAGAACCTCCAGCAAATTCGGCTTAAAACATACCACAAAGACGTAAAGAGAAACCACTATTAACTACACTGATAACAAGTAGTTAACATGGGATGAGCATATCAGTAGAATAAGAGAGGAAAGGATATATACTACTGTTTTTCTATAAAAAAAAGTAGAGGTAAGACCAGAGGCCACACAAATTGGGAGCACAGAAAAGTAAAGGCGGTGAGGAACCTAATTCACTATAAGATTGCTTTTAATATTTTTGGGCAAGAAAATAATATCACGCTTTTGTGGACAGTTGTTGGCGTTGAAACTAGCATGCATAAAAAGTACATAATTGTAACAAACAATTCTGGATGTACAACAATGACTGCAAGTACAAACCATGTTAATCATTTTAAAATGCTTTGTAGCTATTACTTATGCATATTTGTTCCCTGACACTGCAAATTTTACCGGGATCTGGGTCGAATTCGTTTCGAAACTACATCACATTTGTTATACCGTATTCATCTTTCACACGAGATATTTTAACCCTCGACACTGACATTCCATGACGTCGTTTCCAACAATGTACTGTTTTTAAACCAACAGCACCTGCCGACTTTAGATCTGTTGACAGGATTGACTGCATACACCAGGAATACAAGTTACACAAAACGCCGCCACACGCCTTCTTACACGGGGGCAGAGAAACAATCACGAGAGAAGGGAAAACAAATGAAATTCGAGTTCGTCAAAAGGGGCGGCCAACATAATTGAACAATTCCCCTAAACACGTTTCACTTCAAAAATTCATAGTCTTAAAAAAAGACGTAGGTTATCTTGAAGCTTTTCTATGCTATACATTAATGAAGCAACTCTGACTGTTCAGGTACGGTATGACCAAATTTATAATCAATGTGCCGTTGATGTCTTGAAGATTATTTCCGAACCTAGTTAGTGGCTTCTTTTTTTAACACTTTGCAGAATTAGTGCATTTCGTTGAAACGAAAGTCCGAATCGAAACGAATAATATGAGTTTTTAACATGGAAAAATGCTCCACCCAAAGCCTGTGTGAAGTTATTGATCCGCTGTACTTATCCTAATCAATAAAATGGTATATCACTTTGTGATTCATTGTTAATTCCAATTTTGTTTTCAGCTATGGCTACCACGTTTTTCTTCTAAGAGGCATGTCTGTCATTCATCCAGAGTAGATTTTTTTTTGTATTTAGTTAAAATGAATGAATGATTGGCATGTTTGCTTCAGTTCAAGTATACCTACCTTATTTCCTCTGCTGAAACAGGTAGTATTCAAAGAGTTGTCTACCAGCATTTGAAATATTTATGTTGTTATAATCCTTTGAATTTATACTATTTGTTAATAAATTCATGTTTTTTTCAGAGTACAATATCTTTACACATATTAAAAAATGGCTTCAGATTTACTGAGTTTTATTGTTGATCCAGAAGAGGGGGATACTTCTTTACATCTTGCAGCACTGACTGGAGATGTGCTTAAGGTCAGACAATTATTGTGTAGTGATAGTGGAAGAAACTTAATAAATGCACGTATGAGACCATTTGGAGCCACGCCTCTTCGACTTGCTTCCTCAGGTAGCAAAATTTAAATTGAAAATATGATTTAATGAGTAATATTTTTCATATGCATTTCTTGTACTTTTCACAGCTGGCAATGTTGAATGCATGCAAGAATTGTTGAAAAATGGGGCATATGTTGACCTAGTTGACATTAAAGCACAAACACCCCTGTTTGTTGCTGTTTATAATAATAAATTAGAATCATGTGAACTTCTGTTGAAAAGTGGTGCCAATCCAAACGGAGACCGTCGAAATCTAGTAGCTCCACTTCATGTTGCATGCCAAAATGGATCAGCTCCAGCAGTACAGGTAAAATTAAGATTAAGATCGGTGAAAAAATGTTAGGCAGTGAGCGTTTTTAATTAAGATTTTGTGACTGTACTCTTTTTCAAATTCTCATTAGCTTCTATTACAACATGGTTGTGCTGTGGAAGGAGCTTTGACTCACCCTCTACATGTTGCTGCAACTTATGGCCATATGAATTGCTTTATTCTCCTACTTCTTCATGGTGCAAAAACTAGTCTGGCAGAATATGCAGTTGGTCAACCATCCATTGTTCCAATTCTTGCAAAAAACAAGTGAGAACAAATTCAGATAAATTCATGTATGTGCTCTGCAAAATATGTTGACTGATATCATACTCTTCATTTCTGCAGGAGCAATCCCCTTTTTCTGCGACTCTGGGTTCTTTTTGGTGGGAGTTTGTGGTATAATGATAGTACTGGAAAACGAGTGTTTGTTGATGTTGAAGAAGGACCCCTTATTGAAGTTTTACACAATCTTAAAAGTAATCATTTTAATTGAAAAGTAATGTACATTGATGTTCACATTTCATGCACTTGAAATGTTAGCAATATTTTTGTTTCAGCTTTTCCTTTGTCTCTCAAATGTCAAAGTCGCATCAAGATTTGGAAATTGATACAGTATGACGTTCTGAAACACATAAATTCACTTGGGTTACCCAAAACTCTTGTTAATTATCTTGGCTTCAGAGATATACCAGAAATCGATAATTGTTTTGCTTTCCTTGAAAAATGCCTATAAAAAAGCACAATGCTACACCTCACAAAATAATATATTGATAACTGTTTTAACTTATCACCAATTTGACAGCTTTAAAATATAAAGTTTAACAAAATAGCTTTTTCTAATTGCGCTAATTTTAAAAAGGCCGCCGTTATATTCAATACGTATTATCACAAATCATTGGTCGAAATGTGCACGGAATAAGCTACGAAGAATATGGCGGCATGCGCACCTCCAACATGTGCACGTCGAAACGCGTATTTGTTATGGTTTTTGACGTTTCTTTTTACTATATGTCCATTGGAATTCATTGATACGGATATGCAGTGTTTTTTAATTGAATAGTGTGTTTTATGCGTGTGTGAATTGTCATTTTGTTGGTCTGGTAATGGTACAATTATTATCCCGCCTTAAAGATGTCAATTATACACTGTAATTTGAATTGTGCATTTAAAAAATTCTGAATTCGATTTCTGATGCCTTTGACTTAATCAATTGAGACCGCTTTTCCGGAGCTCATTGTTGTTGAAGTACATTGTAAATTACGACATCATGAGATATGAAACCGTAAGTATTTCTGAAGTTAATAATGTGATAATTATAGTTTTAAATCTTACAATATGAAGGTTTTTGTTACCCTTGTACTAGTTCTGAAGGGTTTACTTGCTTTGGGTTGACAATGTACTTTGAAACGGTTAAAATCCAAGATTTTCGGCAGGTGTTTGATTGGGCACAAGTAAAATTGGCAGAAAAGTGGCTGAATGTGTTGTTCAAAGCAAATCCCTCAAAAGAGCATGTTGTAAAGAACTTAGCAAATGCCAGTGGAGTTAATGTCACTTGGAATGAAAATGGGTTGGTGAAACTAGAAGGTTCTTGGGAACATATTTTGAGGTCACAAGTATGTATTTGTACCAAGTTTAAACTATGTTTTCAAGCCTGGTCTGTTGTTATTATTTGTTGTTTTTGTTAATGTAGACCATTTTTGAAAATTACCTAAAATCTCTTGAAGACAGTGAAGCAGGAATTGAAAAAAGAGATGATTTCAGTTTAGTGAAGAAATCAGCCATGGCAACAAATGATTTCACCTCCAAGGTATGAAATATCTTCTTTATATTGACTTATATTTAGTCACTGTGTTTACAACATTGAATTTTCAGTGCTCCAATGTTGCACCAAATCAAGGGACAAAAAGCAATGAAGTGTATGTGAATATTACATTGAATGCAGCCAAGATGTCTAATTTTAATAATGAAACAATACCTGTGGTAAACAATGTTCAAAATGATGTAACTGCAAGTAGTAGTAGTAGATCCAGTGGAAAAATGCACAGAATTCCTCAGGTTTTTGGATATGAAGGAAATTCTTTTGAACATGGTTTCGTAGTTCAGTCAGAAAACAATTGTGTAAGACAAGGCATGGGGTCTGATCAGAAAATGAAAGAAAGTTATAATGTGTCTGAATACCAGCACAAGGTTTTACTCAGCATCTGTAATCCTCAACCAAGCCACACTGATATAAAAAAAACTGATAATCCTGAAACAGCTTTGTTACAAACCTGTTGCTTCGGTGAAGATACAAGCAGTGATATTTCAAGAACACTTCAGTCAGTTGAAGAAGTATTAAGTTTAGAAACTGTTTCTCCAAGTGGTATTGATACTACAGTAGGTTTTGACAAAACCAAACATTCAAATACCAAGAGCCAATCAGAAAATACATCAGTCAAATGTGTTTCTGTTGAATTAAATGATACTTCAAATTCAAAGCATATCAAACAAAAATATCATAAGAAAAAAGATTATGAAGAATTAGCCCCTTTTAAATTCTTTTGTTCCATGTGTTCCTTCAAATCTAAAAGGGCAAGTCACTTTACAAGACACATGAAACTGCACAATGAGGTAGGAAAAGAAACTTCTTCTTAATTGCATTTTATTTTGTAATGTCTTACTTATCTATATTGTCTACAGGTTTCAAAATTATTTAAATGTAATCAGTGCTCTTTTACTTCAATACGTTTAAGTCATCTTCGTCGTCATGAATTAAACCACAGTAAACTCACATTGGCTTGCAACATATGTCAGTATCGAACAAATAGTCAGAAACTTTTAGTGCGACATAAACGCTTTAAACACAGTGCACCAGAGGTAAGTCAACATGCTCATTTTGTTAATTATACAACTCTCCTATGTGTCTCTAAATCTCATAAGATGTGATACTTAGATGAAAAAATAAATTATATATAAAAACAATGTTCACAAGCCTAGATATTGAAAACAGTTGGGCCATTCTGCAATAATTTTCAGTATACTACTGCAATATTTTCTTGTTTATATATTTTTATTATCCTTTAATGGGAAAGTCAGTTACTATGTTTTCAAATTGAAATATTTCGTATGTTTTGATTAATTTTTGCACCACTTTCGATTCAAAATAATACTGAAATCCTTAAAATTATTGTATGAATATGCTTCAAAACTTTTTTAAAGGTACCTGAAGTTAAAAAAGACATTCTTCAATGTGGACATTGTGCATATCAAACTAGTAGAAGTCATTTACTGCAGAGACATACAAAGGTTCATGAATCTAATGCTTTGTTGATTCAAGAATATCACTGTAAACAGGTATGTACCATTCTTCAGGTCAGGCATGATTCTATGATAAGTATACTTCAATTTTGTAAATTTAATTTTGTGAGATTTACTGACTCTTAACCAAAAACATGTATTGGTTGGTGCATAAGTCTTGAGAATTTTTTCATAAGCATTACACATACGAGAGAAGTTAAACATCAGTAATATATTCTCCTTCTTACCCATACTTTTCTTCTCCATAGTACAGCTTTGCAACATTGGGGTAGTTTTTTGATTCCACCCCTGTAGAAACTTTGGTGTTGGAGTTGGAGAAATAGTCAAGCCACGATTGAAGTGCATTTTAATCTAGAAAGGAAGTGCTCTGAAGGTTGTTCGATAGAGAGCAGAAAAGGTGAAAAATTGAAGGCACAAGATTGAGTGAATAATCTGGGTGTGGAATGACTTCCAAACTCTACTCTTCAATACACTTGCCAGATTAGCAAAGTGTGGGTGGTCATTATCATGCCGCAACACTACATGCAGCCTTCATGGTAATTTTTGTTGGATTACAACTTCTAGCTGTCTCAGTTGTTTGCAATAAATGTTGGCATTGATAATTACATCTCGAGAAATAAGTCTTTGAAATCCACATCCTCTTTGTCCCACTGGATTGCATGACATAGCCTTTTATAGATGTAGGCTGGTCTTTGTTCAGATAGTTTTTTCTTAGCTTAACATGAATACCCCATGTCTCACTACAAGTAACAATACTGAATAGGAACGGTTCATGTAGTTCACAAGCCAATCTACAGTGAGCAAGTAAAGATGCACACATCAGCATTATAGTATTAACTCCACAAGGCACAGAATCTATAACCAGCCCTATCACACAATACATTATACCACTGGCGCATTTCATGGAGAAAATTACATAAATGTAGATATAGTTGATGTAAGGATTCAGGCAGTTCTTATGTGAAAACGTTAAAGCAAAAGGTCATTTATTTATTCAACAATGAAATGCTATGATGTCAGGGACTTGAAAAAGTTGAAAAAAGTGCAGTACCCTTTGTACATTATGCCTTAAGATTGTATTTCAAAATTGTAGTACCCCCTTTCCAATGAAAAAAGAAGACATTTCATCCTTTCTTGTAAAATCCACCCAGACAGTTTTTCTTACTTCAAAAAGAGGGTGTGCCCAGGGAAAAGAGGACTTGTGGTACATGATACAAATATTCCTATTTGCCTTCACCCTTCAACTGAATTCAGAGAAGAATATGTGGGAAATATTCTACTTTGCCCACTTCACTATCTATTTTCAATTGCCCACATCAACACTCCTTATTTGCAATAATGCAAAATTCAATACACAAACTCAAGCACAATACAGGAACTTCATCGAACTTTTGTCAGCAACACACTTAACAACAGTGCTAGACTTATGCACCAGTTTTCTAGTTTATGGGAAGAACTGTGCTATGTTAAATCAAAAACTTCTTATTCTGACAAACTAAGATAAGCATAAATTAAAAACATTAAAAAGAGATTAAAAAGTTCAAAGCCATTAAAAAGTTTGTGATATGTGACAGAATCTTGTCAGAATGACAAATAACATGCAATAACTTCCAAAATGCTTATTAGTAGAATCATATTCAGGAGCCAAATTAAATTATTTTATTTATTCTTAAATTCATCATAGTGTGTTTAAAAAGCTTTGAATTTTTAGTGTTCATATAAAACAAATCGCAAAGAACATTTTGTGAGACACACCAACAACATTCATGAAGGACGTCGACCTTTCTTGTGCCATTGGTGTGGCAAAGCTTTTAAGAGGCAAGATGCTTTGAAACAGCATTCTTCGACACACACTGCACAGGATGCTGTTACTTGCCCAGAATGTGGAAAGGGATGCCGTTCTCATGCACATCTTTCTCAACACATGGTAAGGTTAATGACAGTTTTTGTTTGTATGGATGCAGATCTTCCTGTTCTAAAGTTGTTTTGAAATGAAGTAATATAAGGTGTAGGTAAACATTAACTAAAACTTATTTGTGTTCAGGGATTGCAGGATGGTAATCTACCCCCATTCTCACTAACAGAATGCTCTTTTCTATAAACTAAAATATTAATTATATTAATAAATGTTACAGTAATTGATTGTATGTTTAACCCATTAAGGACCAAGCATTGAAATAATATTTCTTTACCAATATTATGTATCTACTCTAATATTACACTAGCAGAGGATAAAAAAACTCATTTACAATTTTTTTATTCTAATAGTCAATGCCCAATAAAATTTTACATTTTCACAACTATGGAACAATTGGGTATATCAATTCATCTTGACATGAGACAATTGAAAACAGGTTGAATGGAGGTGAATATTGCAATTTTTTAAATTTGTAATTTTAGTGCTTTTGCACAATCTGCACTTCCTTCTGGCTTTAATCTCTCCTATTCACATGTTCTACATTATGATTGATTGACTGATGATTCCGGGCATATCAATTGCTAAATTGGACAGTTTCCTTAATATAGTGCATGTTTTTTATTGTGGGATGTGGGGGTAATTTTCCATTGATGGATGGCGAGATCTAACACCAACCTACGTGTCCGCTTGCGGGGTGTTGTTGTTGTTGTTCCCTCCCCAAACCGGTATCTCAGACGAGCGGAGCACTGCTTCAGCCAGAACCAGCTCTAAGCTCCCAACTGGTCTCCTGGCAAGCGTGGTTGTGTAGTGCAAGTAATGGGTGAGGATATGGCAAGGATGGGGAAAGAATGATCGCGGTCCGTGGCCTATTTGTTAGGGTGTGCTCCGACATTTGCCTGGTATTGATCAGAGAAACCAAGGAAAATCACCGGCGAGGGGCGCAAGTCGCACAAGTTTTTCTCCAGATGGTGGCTGAACTTGAGCTATGTAACTAGTATCGAAAATCCTGTCATTGTCGGGACTCAAACACTAGGACCTCACGATCAGAGGCACTGCAGTGACAAATTGATACCTCGAGTCACCTCTGTTGGTATATGTACATCATCATATCGTACTTCTTAGTCAATGTCTTAGTCTCTTTTTTTTTTAAGAAGGAAAGTGTTTGTAGGTTGACTAAAATGGGATTTTTCAGTTTCCTATGTATTTATTGTGTCATTTTTGCATTCACTTCCTTTTGCAGCCTTTAGATTAGAGTCATGGCTAATTAAGAATGAAATTATAATTGTGACATCTTTTCTTCATTCGCAATATTATATTTTTTCCCTAAGTTGACTATTGCACAGCCAATCAATTTTTCTTCTTCTACTTCTTTTTCTTTCAGAAGATCACCTATATTTTCCTTATCTGTCATTTCATCAACATTAAGAAAAATGTACACAGCATCCATCATATTTGCAGTAATAAGGTCAACATCTTCCTCCAATATTGAAATAAGTTCAGCAGTTGATAGAAGCACATATTTTTGTGAATCATTTCCAAAATAAGTACAATTTTTGTAGAAGATACATAATTATGTTTGAAGCATTGTTTGTATAATGATGCAACAATGCAGGATGAGACACTATTTCCAAGATGAGATAATTATATCAGGAACGGAAATATGAAACAGTAGTTACATGTCTATGATTACACTTCAATGATTATATTCCAATTGCATTTGCATTTTCACTAATCCCAACTTTGCTTAAACCAAGCATTATTGAAAATTATCAATCATAAGATAAATAAGGACTTATCTACATAAGAAATAGTCTAAAATGATAAAAGAAATTTCAAGCAAGTTTGTCTAGTAATATACAGTTAAAAAATTGTGTAATAATTAAATTAAAAATCTATTATCGGTAATACATACAATACATACATTACATTATCTCCAAGTTTCAAAATTCAACAAAGCCAAATTTACTCTGTTATGAATGAAAAGTGCAAAAACTGATCAAATAGCATTTCTTCTAAGTGTGATAGTGGCACAGAAAAAATTTATATCAAATCATTTTTCGAAAAATATATTTATAATAAATGTTGCATTACTGTAATGTTGGGACTTAATGGGTTAATTTCAAACTAATTATCTTCCTTTAATATTGTTCAATTAAAAATTAAGTTAAGCAACTAAATTAAATATGATTAATGGAAATGAAGTTGTCTGAATCAATGTAACTTAATTTATCAGTAAAAATATTATCTTCTTGTAAAGTTTAGTGAAAAGTGGTGTATTGTCTAATAACATTTTGTTTAATGAGAACTGATGTGATATTGTAAACTTTGTCATTAACTTCTTAATTCAACATGTTATTGTAAATTTTTGACAGTGATTAAAATTCAGTACAGTGAATAGACAACCAGAGAACAAGTTCAATACCATTTGACTGAACATTCATTCCCTTTGTAGTAGTTCTCCTCTTCCCCCCACACCAACTCCTACTCGTACTCCCCCAAATTCATCCATATTCCTGACTCCTACTCCCACCTACGTTGTCATAGCAACCACCCCTCCAATCTCCCAAAACACCCCCACAAAACCCTCACAATCCATATCCTACAACGTATGGGCTGATCCAAAAACTATCAGCACCTGAACCTGTAGCAAACAACCATTTCTACACCAGTAATCACAGGAAAAAAAAGGACTTTTAAGATACTACATCAGAACATGTGATCCTTAAAAAACAAAATATATGAAATAGAAATTATGTTAAAATACCATATTAAACACACAAGTGCATTCTATAACTGAATGGCTTATGGAGGATCAAATAAAAATGATACAAATCCTGGGTTTCTACTTAGCTAGTTACTTCTGTTGTAAGGCCAAACACACCAAAAGCAGTCGCACGTATAAAGGCACATGCATATACCTACCTGTCCAATAATTCCAAAGAAGTAACTGAATTCAAATAGATAACATGCGACTCAGGCATAGAAGAGCATAGAATGTTCAATTGTAGAAATTCCAATATCCAATTCATCCAATCCAACTAAATATCTTCCTCCTAAGCATTTACCGAGCTCGTGATGGAAATAATTTAGGGAAAATCGATCAACTGAAACTGCTATATTCACATTTGTAAATGAAATCCTCATGGCATTGGAGCAAAAAGAAATTCCTGTTGGCCTCTTCCTTGACCTGTCAAATGCCTTAGACACAATAAGCCATAAAATTCTATTGTCAAAATAAGAATCTTATGGAATTCAAGGAATTGCTTACAAGTGGTTAAAATCATATCTAACAGACAGAAAACATATAGTACCTTACCAAAAAGACCACAAAATAAAAAAAAAGCATCACTCCATACCAAGAGATGTGTTCCCTATTGGGTTCTGCAAGGATCCACACTAGGCACCATTTTATTTCTTATATTTGCAAATAAATGACCTGCCATCAATAATGAGTAAAAAAGAACTACTTTTTACTGACGACACTAATATAATATTCTAAGAAAGAACAACCTAAACTTTATAAGACAAAGCCAATTCATCCACTGACAAATTAATTCAATGAATCCTCCTAAACAGAGACAAAAAAATCACAATGCCCTTCCACAACTCTCACTCAACACAACAAAACTCACCAAATTTAACATTAGAAGGCAACAGCATCACACAAGTACAGGAAACAAAATTTCTCAGAATCATCATACAATCCAACCTCAAATGGTCTTTTAATTTAATTTTGAAGTGATTTCCATTTGTCAGTGTAATACAGTGTGGCAGTTTATTGTACATTATTAGTGCATTGTAAAAGGAATCTTTATTTGTTGATGCTTTAGAGTTGAACACCCTGTGGTAGCTTTTATGTTTGCGAGTATTGTATTTATATAGTTCATTATTTTTTGGGATGTTAAATCTACTGTTATTTTTTAGTAGAATAATTAACCTGTATGCATACAGTGCTATTACAGTCAGAATTTTATGTTTGGTGTGATAGTTCCTACAAGATTGGTTTGGTTTTAATATATAATCAATATCATATTTTGTATGTGAATATATTGTACCATAATATATAGTTAACAGGGATTGTGTTTAAGAATTGTGAGAAATAGCATAGGAGAAAAATCTTGGAACTCTCTTTCATGCATAGTGTGTTGATGTGATCATTGTACAATAGGTTTTCATTTATGGTGATTTCTTGAAAGTTATGCACAGTGATTAAGTGTCTTAACATAATTCAATTTTTTATGTTATTACAAGGTTTTCTGTACTTCTTCCAAACTGTTTTGTGGTAGACCGAAAGAAAAAAAGCCTCAGTGAATAACTTCTCAAATTTGTGAATTGTCATTTGTTGTTTGAATATCACACTTTGTATATTATAATGAAGATGAAAATATTTATTTCTTCTAGACTGTACATTCAACAGAGAGATTGTTTCTATGTGAACTCTGTGGAGCATCTTTCAAAACCAGAGCTGTGCAAAGGAAACATATGTTCACAATTCACCAACATCCAAAGGCTTTCTTGTGTAGCCACTGTTCCCGGAAGTTCAGTACTAAATTTGCTTTGAGGCGTCATGTAAAGCAGCACAGGTAAGGCTAACCCTTATCATAAAAGTGGATGTTTGAAATTCATGAAATTCTTGAAATTCATCTGGGAGAGACATATAATTATTGGATGAACAGTTAAAAATGCTTGTATGCCAGTGATGATAATCAAGGTCAATAGAAACCAAAACTGTGGTTTCTTACATTTAAAATATAATCAAGTATGTGATGTTTTTAAGTTGTAAGGAAAACTCAACCAGGTAATAATCAAGTTACTACAAAAGTGAGTGAGAGAGACACATACATGCGTGCACACACATGCGTAATTGCACACCCATGGACACACACACTTTTATCCAGTGAAAATGAGAAAGTGGGTGGCATTTTGAAGAACAAAAGCTTGCCAGAGAAGCCAATGATTCTAGCACTTGAAATACATGGGATAACTGTGGGATCGCTGTCCTTGCATTGTTGTGTTTCAATCATCTTTAATTATACTGTAATATGTTGGTAATTATGAAAAGTTGTATCCCACTGCATCTTAATTTACAATTGTAACTTGTAATACATTATCAATCCTTGTAGGGAAGGAATTTCTCAGTATTTCCATAGACATTAAGATGAGTGGCTATTACTTTCTGTAATTGACAGCATCAGTGGTATTACAGTTTGCATGTCAGGCTGTTACACCCAAGTTTGCTGTTTCAAGCACATTCAAAGTTATGGATTTTTAACAGCGAAAAAATCCTTTGTATGCTGGCCTTCAGAGGAGTCAACCTGTCTGCCCTATGATGTAGATTTACTGCATGAAAAATATCCTGAGGCCTAAAAGAAGCCTCTAAATTTAAATTACCTGTTCTGTTGCCTGAGTAATACCTTCTTTCTCTGCTAGATAATGGAAGAAGCGGAACAAAGTTTTAAGGTCAGACTGAAGAGCAGGCCTTATGACCAGAGTCACCATTATCGAATTGAATAATTGATAAGTGTGGTCAAGTTTGTTGTTGCCATGAAATCTGTTGCACTCAAAGGACTCATTTACATAAGAATACTGTTAGACCTAATAATGATTTGAAGTTTTTTCTTTTTCTGAAATTAATTACTACCCTGAAGGATTAATGGTGACATGTTGCAGTTCCCAGTTATCAACAGAGAAGCCACTTCAGGACCAGGTTCCGGACCCAAACACTTGTGTGAGACTGTTGGCAATGGATGCAGTATTTTACACTGACCCTGCAGGAACTCATACTTCTACATCAAATGTTATTGCAAGCCCTCCTAAGGAAAAGGCAAAACCTTTACAGTCAGCAGCAGCCTGCGAAGCAGAATCTGTTCATGTTATTCCAACTCAAACTGTTACGCAATGTAATAGTGAAACTACCACTCTTGTGTATGTGACTAGAACATTTGTGCCATTACAAAGGTGATGTTTGGTTTCTTTTTTTCTTCTTTCTTGTCATTTCTGAACTTCAATTTTATGGGAATTTAGAGAGACAATTAATGTGTGTGTTAAATATTGGATATCTTTATATAATAAAAGCTTATGTAACTATACAAGTGTTTTCTCTTTATTGCAAATACGTAAATTTAACTCTTCCAAGAGCATAATAAATTCTTACTATGGTTTTAGTTACAGGAGAAGGAAGTAACCTTTCGTTCTTCCTCTCCCCATTGTGTACATAATCCATCATTCATTGCAAATAGTGCTAATAGCCAAAATGTAACATATGCAATAGTTTTCCCATTGTTCACCTTATATAAGTTTGTTTCAGTGATGTTTAGGAGAAGCTCAAAATGTTTGCAACATAGTAATTTAACACACTGCTTAGCATTACTCCAACAAAGAACAGAATTACAGTCTCCTTGCAGTTCCAAAAACCAGTAGATTTGAGAAAAGAAATTCTTCAAAAAATGCTTGTTCTATCAACTTGGTTAACATCACAATGTTTTATCGTATTGCAGTCCTGAATTCTCGTTCGGATGGGGCATTTTATTTTCAAGATTAATTTATTTTTCAGGAAATGCATTTAATTCTTATATACTTGGGGTCTTTGTTGTGAAGGGTGGGGTGTTGTGAATAATTGTTCATGTTTATTGTGGACAGTTTTATTGATATATGGTTTCTTTAAATATTCATCACAACATGCCATAAAAAACAAAAACTTCCGATATAAAGTATGAATGAAAATATGCACTTACTATTCACTAATTTCAGAATTAGCTAAGGCTTTGTGTTAGGCACTTTTTACTGGATTTAAGAAATAACCAATGTTACTTTATCTGTACTTTATTGAGATTCCAAATTTTCTGACATGATTACTGCAACACCTATATTGCCTTGTCATTTTTTCTTTAGATCTCTTTCAATATGTAGCATACTAATCGGTTGTGTTATCTTTAGGTTCAAAGGTCATACAAACACTATTGATACAGTAGCGGTCTCCAGTGGGAAGAGGACCATCCTTAAAAACATGGCCCAAATGAGCATCACACTAGAATGAAAAGAAAGGCTTGTGTAAAAAAAAAATACATTGCAAATATACAATTAAGTCAAAAGCTATCAAAAGTAAATATTGTGGTTACAATGCCTAAATTAATAGGCATTGATTTAAAACCTATACCAGATTATATAATTAAAAAAAAGAATGGACAAAGTGATAACCAAGTGGATTTGAATCTACTAAGCATTCAGTTGAAATAATTTATTTCTATTTTTTATGGTGTTTCTTCAAAATAAATTTGATAAATTGTATGAATAATACTTGTACAATTTTTAGCTAGTGTAGAAAGTTGAGAACAATGTAGTAAAATAAGATAAATAATATTTACCTTTAGGAGATTCTAACTAGAATTTGGCATAGTAAAGGGTTTTATAATTTCCAATTTTGTACACTTATACAAATTTCAATTTTGTTCTGTCAAAAAAATCTGGAATTGCCACATTTTAGTTACAATCTTATAAAGGTAGATGTATTATTTATTTAAGTATACTATATTTTTGGCAACTTATGGCATAAACCAAAAAATTGCAAGAATTTCAACTTCCCTGAAAGGTCAAATTTATTTTGATGAAATTAAACAGAATGCTGAGAAATTTTAATCTTTGATCCACTTTTCATTACTTCTTCATTTACCAATATTGGAAAGGTTTTCTTCCTAATAATAAATATTCAGTACTGACTAGGAGTCATTTCTTAAATTAAAATTACTAAAATTCTTTGAATGCAGAATAGGAAATTCTCATCTTGCACATATTGGCAATTGTAATTACAAAATATTTAAAGTAAATTTAATTGTTAATGTTAGTTGCAGACAAAAAAATTCTATAAACATTTGTATGGAATGTGATCTGATAAAACATTATGTAGAATATCCCCCCTCCCATTTTAACTTTGCAACAGGTACAGCATTGAAGGACAAGACTTGGTGAGAAATGTGATTATCATTGCAAAAATGATTATTTGTAAATTATATTTGATATTCCTTTATCATCATTTTCTTAGTTAATTAAATTTGTTATTAAGGATATTAAGACTTCTGTAGTTGTGTGAGTTTGAAAAGAACACTGTATATTTCTGTCTACATCAAAATTACTCAAATTATTTACATTTGTTTCTGTTAAATTTTATACCAGTGGTCTGGAGACCTTGGGTTAAATTGCTTGAATGCATCTAGTTAGTGGGCAATAAATAAGGAAAGGTACATAATATTACATTTAATATTTCCTTGTTGTAGAAAACTAAAATTTAATCCAATAAAATTAATTTAATTTGTACACATTGGTGAAACAACTGAATATTAATTCTAATTTAGAATTAATAAATTACTTATTACAACTTCATGGATTAATGCCTGTGAAGTATACTTACAAAGATTTGTGAATTATTAGCATTCAGATTGATAGCTTATTAGAAAGTGCAGAAACTGATGATAATTAGGAGGAAGAAAATAAACAACAATGATACTACAAAAAGGTTCTCACAGTGACTGATTTAAATCAAGCTATCAAATATTTTGTTTAAAGAGTTGAAATTTTAAAAAATTAATAAAAATTACTATTCTGAAACAATTGGAAAGAACATTTTTTTAACACTTACATCAATTATATTCACTTTTTACAAAAGGATTGTTTGTGCCCCCTGGTGTAAACAAAGATGGACACTTGTCGAAAAGTTTTACTTTGCGTATTTTTACCTAATTATTATTCTCAGAAAATGTGTGAACATACTAATATGTTTCTAGGAATAAAATAACTCGTGTATGATACCTTAGCACATCGTACTTCAGTTCGAACCATTCCATGACTCTCATCACGTCTTTCTTCTAAAGCGTTTGTTATTGCAGTATGAAAAGAAGGCCATCCAGAACCAGAATTAAATTTGCTTTCAGAACTGCAACATTACAACTTTCTAAAGACTACAGCCTCAACATATATAATCAATTTATTGATGTTTGTTCTCTACCTGAATAGTGCTGATCCACAGCAAACACACCTGTATGTGCCAGAAGCATAAAAGGAATTGTACTTTCCAGTGTTTGGCTACAATATAAAAACATACTTAAAAAATACACAAAAAAGCCATTGTTCTAGATACAAGTAAACATGTGAACAACTAGTATTGTACACACGTAGTAAGTAGAGGGCATTACATACACGTTCTGTTCCTGCTTTGCGGCAAACTGCAAACTCTAAAGGTGATAATTTTTTTTCCCATTCATCATCACTAATGTTTTTGAAATCCCCAGAGATTTCATCTAGAACTGAAGCATTTATTATTTCAAATCACATACACAACAACATGTTCAAGGACTGTGGCCTGTGTTTGACCTAATTTCAGTCACAGATATAGGTAACAATATTCTGAATAATAAAAAAGCCATTTTTAACATTTTCTCCTAAACAGAATTTTGAAAAAAACTATTTGCCCTCAAACCTCCAATTGGTGCAACATTATGAAATGTTATTGGAGATTTATAATGTAATACACATAGTGAACAAACAAAGGAGTCATACTCACTGTAAGGATTTATTTGCTAACCATAATTGATGGTAATTCCTTGGAATCAGGAAATACTTTTAAAGTCATACCTAGGTCAAACACAGTATACTTAAAATACAATAAACTTTAAGAACTTGTTTTAACATGACGATAATAATTATTATATTATTTTTATTATAATCAGTTCAGGCTATACGCCTCTCCATTGCTTTTTCCATGGCTTATGTTTTCATTTTTTTTCAGGGCCAAATAGAATTGAATACTCAAGAAGCAAGGCACAAATAATGGAGACTTGAGGCCAAGACTCGTTTAAAAAGTGTTATTATGACAATACTTGTTTGTTTATTATTAATTTCATTGAAATTTTTTAAAAAGGGAATTCAACATCCTTGCTTCTCTCTGAAGGAAATGTTCTTTGCTGCTAAAGAATGTGCTATTGTCAGTCTAGAAAGCAAGTATGGTTCCATCAAAGTTAACTCATTACTTTGATGGAACCATACTTTGAAGAAAATTAATTGTGAAACACATATTTTACAGTACCTTCTAAAATGTTTTATCTTCAAATCACAGGAAAAATAAAAAAAGCAAGTAAACAGTAATATTCTTTCAATTATTTTTCTTTGGTACTTTAATAGTTTAGTTTATCAATAAATAAATTCTCCATTTCCTCCAACACTCCAATCAAGAAGAACATTTGTCAATTTTTTTTTAATATTATATGTTATCTAGGTTTACTGTAAATGAAATTCTTTTTAATGTTTACATTTAAAATAAAGTTCCCCTTTAACTTTCAGGTTTTAGGTTTCAATAACAAACATTTCTTCAATGAACTCTTTTCTTTTTTACCTACATTATTTTATAAGTTCCTACAAAATATCCTATTTTGGAGAACAATAAAGGCCCTTTTGTGAATTATATTGTTAAGACATATCAACAGCAGAATGTAAACACCACAGCCAAGTTAAAGCAAATAATTTGAATCTTTACTGTTACAGTGTAAGCTTGACATTCTTCAATTTCTTCAAGAACACTTCGGTCACAATATCTGGATTATGCTGCAAAATATGAACACCTCGGAGAGTCAGAACAATAAATTCCTTCACTCCATCACCAGTAATGTCCATGTAGAGAATTGAATGAATGGGAGTCGCAAAGCTGCGCTGACTCTCAAGTACCCATCCTTCTGATGAATTGTTTCCACCGATATACTTGTAAAGAAGAATTTCTTGCCCATATGTCCCTAACATTATTTCATTCTTTCCATCCATATTCACATCACCAATGCACGAACAAAGAACTGCATCAAACTGTTCACTACCCACTAATGGAAAGGCTTTGTTGAATCCTTCCTCAATAACATTCATGTAAACCACAGAAGGTTGCAAACTATTTGAAACAAGAAGATGCACAGCCATGTCTGTCATTTCCTCTACTAATGAGTTAGGCTCAACACATGAAGGGCGTGTAATATTTGTCGTCAATGTAAACAATGAAACATTTGATATTGGACCTTCAAATTGTGCAGACCAACTTGATATTAATTCTCTTCCTTTGGAAACTGCAAGATGAACATATCCAGATTCACATCCAAATGATGTTACTCTCACTGATGAATGTGGACAATAGAATATGTCCATCCACAAAACAATACTGGGAGGATCAGCTAATTCCACAAAATGTTCTGCTACATTTACTTCACTATAACAATGATTATGGCGGTCTTCCCGAAACATGTGAACTTTGACATCACTTCCTGCTAAAAGCCAAACAATTTCCTTGCTCTCGCCATCACATTCAGGAAGCCATGTATGATATAGCTGATAAGGTATATAACTCAATTCTAAGATCAGACAATTTTGAGCTACACTCTCTAAATTGAATTCTGAACTTTGCTCCAATTCTGAATAGATATTCAAATACATTTCTGTATTCTGCTCACTACTAGATTTAATTATTGTAATGCCAATAACAAAGTCATCATTTGTTTGAGATTTATTAAAAACATCAATAGATATTATCTCAGCACCACTTGGTATGTATGTAAACAAAACTTCACGTACTGAAGGTTTTAAATATCCACCAAGATCAGCAGTGTATTCTAATGAAAAAACTTTTCTGCGCAGTGAAGCTGCTAACACTTTATTACTACCATCTGACATGCAAACCTGTTTTAAAGAATACACATTTCCTTGAGATGGTAATAAGAAATAATGAGCATCAATTAAATTTTTCATATTGTGTTGTTTTCAACAACCACGAAATACAAAATGACCAGCAGTATAAATTTTAAAAATAACTTTAACAAATACCACCGTTAAATATCTTCTAATAAATGTAGTTTTTTACCCTTCGAACCACTTATTTTCCTAAAACTTGACAGAAGATAACGACACTCCTTTAGCACATAGCCAAAATTATTAATTCTGTACAAATTGGCAAATCGTGCTATCATACTTCCAAATGTTTTTGATCTGAAAAGCACGACACGGGCAGTACACAACACCAAACGTCGCAAGAGTAAATGTAATTACACCAGACCGAGGACACCACGCTGATCGCTTTTCATTAGTTTGCTTCGGCGCTGTTTTAGACTTCTCTTTTCCGAATCCTGGGCAGGGGTACTGCAAAAATGCCTGGTCAATGCTGCAAAGGCCTGTCGAAGATTTCTTGAAACAAATTTCAGTCCGCTTTCAGCTACTATCGCGAGAGCACACGCGACACGATAGTCGCGTCAACTCGCTCAACTCGCGTCAGTTCGCGTTATCAGCTCCTCACACACAGCTGATATGTATCTCACATTTGTCTGTCATACAAGTCATGAGTCACGAGACTGAATTCGTTGTGTTCTCAGCAGTTTCGAGTTCGTAGTTGCTACCCAGTTACAAATTTCTATACAGGATTTTGCTTTCGATGGTGAAATTTTGAAAAATTTAATGAAAAACGGAAATTTTGTATGGGGGAATCGGGTAAATCAAGGTTAATAATTACATTTTCTGTTACAACTGATATTAACAAATCATTCAATTTTAGAGGGATGAATTGTACAATAATTGGAATGCATAGTCAATTTTTGGCAATTACATTTCGCGTAACCGCCTGAAGTGAATGGAACAAATGTATTAAATGTAGTAGTATTTAATATATCTATAGTATTTGGTAGAAATACACTTGGAACGTAAAAATGAAGCTCATTTTTTAGAGTAGACAAAATATTATATAACTAGAGTAAACGTGTGTTGCATCGTGGTACAGTGGAAGGAGGCAACCTACCTCTAATTAGAAGATATCTTTACATAATATACAGAAATCAATGGGCAGTTCCTGGGTCTCACGTGTCCGTGCATAAACATCTGATCCATGTAATTTTTCCTTTATTACAGCTTTTATTTATTTTAAGTAAAATCTCTTACGCTACAACCACTCAACTTCTTGATCACGAAGTCAGTAAATGCTGGCAAAAATTGACATTCAATATTTTCGAAGAAAAAAATACTTTTAATGGTTTTCGGGCAACTTTGTTTGCATCGAGGGCAAAATCCATGATTTGTTATATGGACCTTGGTGAAGGGTACCTTTTTCTACAGTGCTACATATCTAACAATAAGGCAAAACTTTGAAAGAAAGAATTGATCATATTTTTTAACGGTACGGCATAATAAAGAAATGGGGTAACTTTATGTACTTATTATTACTTATTATTCTGTATCACAATATGTCCAAGAAAGAGTAAAACAAAATTTGTTTTACCTAAAAGTCTGGATTGTCAAAATCAAACGTTCCGGCTTAAAAAAAAAAGAACAGAAAATAAACAAACGAGTGATTATACGAGATGTATACCTACTGTACTGATATCTAAGTATTATAATATACATTATATTACTAAATTATAAATTATTGTAATGCTACCTAAATGGTAGGTCACGCTGTAATATTTTACCGCAGAAAAGGTAATATATTTATATATATTATTATAGATTAAATGTATCAGAAATCTAATTCGAATTTAACAGGATTTCAAGAAAAGTAAATTTACAAAAAACGTGTTTTCTTTTTTGGAAGAATACTAATGTGTTCAAAATCTCCCTCATGACTACGCGTGTGCTGGCGTGTGCAGTGTGAACGTCAGCGAATACTTGGCCTCCATGGTGCGCACCTTGTTAGTGTTATGATACATATAATTACTCTTGGAACATGCATCTACACTGCAATTTAAATATAGCGCCTTTTCAAGATCACAAACTGGTAGAAGAGGGGAACACTATTATCGAATCGAGAGCTTCGGTATAACTTTAATTTTTAGTATTGAAGCTCTCGATTGGATAACAGGGTACTTCTCTCACTCCAATTTGTGACCTTTTAGGGACACTACGTTTAAGTTGGAGTGTATACATCAAGTCGAAAGAGACGTATACAGAAGATACAGAAGTGCCAAAACGACCCTGCCCATACGTGTAGGGAACAATGGCGTTGAAAATTTTCGTATTTTCCTTCCTGTGCCTAGCACTCTTAGAGAGTGGCTTTGGAAGGATCCACAAACTTGAAATGAAGGTAAGCCTGTTTAAAATATATTTAAAGTGTAAATCCATTCGTGTTAAAGTAATATTAAGTGTGTAGGTTAAATACTGTAATTGACAAGACGTCATATCGTTGCATTTTTTCACGAATGTCTGGCATTCTCAATGTGTGTGTTCCCAGTTAGTTGTAGAAAAGTAAATGAGCCCAGAAAGCGTGATACAAAATATTAATGTCATGCATCTTGATCATGACACTCGAAACACTTTAAGCATAAGGTAGTGTGTCCGTTGTAAACATAAGGTCGATGCCAATTGTTTTTACTGTTTAAATTGCGGACGGAAATAAACAAACATTAATGCATCATTACTTTCTAATTTTCTTTCAGAATGAAGCACGTCGTTTCATATCATTAAGCACCTTTGGTTTTTTCCAAGGTGGCTTGTTGGATGTTAATTTAACCAATTTCCATGCTAATCCTTTCAACGAGAAAGCTGTGGTATAATTTTTAAATAAATACTTATGATTATATTTTTATTATTATTATTTTCATATGATTAAACTAATTTTTTCCTATCTCTAGTTTGGATTTAGTTTAGATCGCACATTAAGTGATGCAATGAATCCCTATTTGGATAGCCATCAGGATGGTTGTCTGCTGCAGCAGCCTCCAAATCAAGAACCAAGTGGTGCTGTAGCATATTTTACTTTGGATTTACAAAATAAATTGTGTGTAAATTCTTTGAAATAAATTACTGAAATGTGAAAAGCTATTAATATGATCATAATAATAATCATAATTAATTTTATTCACAGGTTAAGAGTGAACTGTAGTCATGAACTGCAAAGTATACATATATATAAAAGTCAAAGCGATATTCCTCTCTTCCGCCCTAAGCGAGCTAATGGAATGTCTATTAGTCATACAAACCTATTTAGCCAGAGACGTCGAAGGAGCACAGGTACTTTTAATGTATCATATCACCTTATAACTACTGTAATTTGTAGGATAGAGCTGTAATTTTCTTCTTTTTTTTTTGCCAGGGACAACTAGTACTCAATTGACTTGTTCACAGCAAATCCGCATTAGTAGCAAAGTAATTGAAGGAGTTAACTATTATAATGCAAATGTAAGTACAATCAATCAATTAGTATGAATTGAATTAGATTTACATGCATATTTTATGGCAGATACTTGAAAACTATTGTTTATTATTAAAGTTTGTCTAAATTACAGTTTGTGATGTTTGTTGCCACTGAAAGAGAAGAGGGATTGTACAATTTATACTTCCATAATTGCCCCAATTACGAGGAGAAGTCTAAGCCAGTGTTATTAGATTTTACAGTAAGTTTTTTGCGAAGTAATTTTTAGAAAAGGAAATTTCAGCGAAAACTTCCTACTAAATATTATTTACTAATTTCAGATTTCAATAGAAGAAAAGAATGGTGAAAACTACCTTTCTGCTGGAGAAATGCCATTGCCTGCATTGTATTTTATGATGGCACTCTTATTTTTCCTGTCAGGATGCTTCTGGGTGTTTATTCTTAGAAAGAGCAGGTTAGTGACTTAGACCATTTTCTAATGATTGAAGTTAATTAGTTTTGTGAAATATTACTAGTTTTATTAAAAATGAAGATACAATGTTAGATACACATTGTTAAAAACCATTCATTTTAAAACACTTGGTGACTAACATTTGCAGGCATCCTGTGTATAAAATACATTACTTGATGGCAGTTCTAGTCTACTTGAAGTCCCTGTCTTTATTATTTCATGGAATTAACTATCACTTTATCCAGACTAAAGGTGAACATGTAGCTGCTTGGGCTATTCTGTATTATGTGGCTCACTTGTAAGTTCTTTGGTCTATTTACTTTTTATGAAATATATTTGTCAGTTATATTGCAGTACTGAATTGAAAACGTGTCTATTTTCAGACTAAAGGGAGCAGTACTGTTTATTACAATTGTTCTTGTTGGCACTGGATGGACATTCATCAAGCACATTCTTTCTGAAAAAGATAAAAAGATTTTTATGATTGTTATTCCCCTCCAGGTAATGCATTATTTAAACAGTATTTGTTTTCCAATTAAATGAACTTTGAGTATTTTTCTTCACTGTTTTAACACATTTTCCTCAGTTCTTACAATGTTTTCCTCTGTGACATTTAGGTCTTAGCCAATGTTGCTGAAATCATAATCGAAGAATCCGAAGAAGGAACCGTAGAACACCACACTTGGCGGGATGTTTTTATTTTAGTGGATTTAATTTGTTGCGGTGCAATTCTGTTTCCTGTTGTCTGGTATGTCTGGCGATTTTTGTTTTTAATGAAGTCTTTTTTTCTTTCTTTCTTTTTTTTTAAACCTATCTTTAGATGCAATCTCCTGAATTTGTTTGGTAGACTTTCACTACTGACTTGTTTGGTAGACTTTCTCTACTGACTCTTTGTGTCGTGTTTCCATTGCTTCCAACACTAATTTTTTTATAATGTTCTGGATTTAACATATTTTCTAATCACTCTTTCTAAAGATTTTCCCAAAGTTCTCTTTCTGTGCTGTGAATTCCTCCTGTACTTTGTGTCAATTTTGCTCTACAAATAGCTCAGCTGTCTACAATTGATTTATTACACAAGATTATACCTGTTCTGTTTATTATGTTAGCATATGTATGTGCAGCTCAAAATTTTGACATTCTTATCAATTAAACTTTTTTATTTTCTAATGATATTTCACTTGTAGAACAATTTTCAGTTGAATCTTGAAATTTATTTTCGGGTGTTCTTAGGAGGGATCACCTCTGATTTGGCCACATGTGTTCAGAGTAGTTTGGCTGGTTTTGGTGTCTTTACTGTATTTAGTGTCTAAATTTGCCAGCTTTCAAAAGTATATTAGAAAATGTCTTCAGGTTTTGCTCCAAAATCGTTCTTTACTATAGGAATACAATGTTCAATTTTTAATTTTTTTCCCCCTAAATTTTGGACAATGCATAATTTTTTATTATTAATACAAATAATAAGACTTCATAAATTGTGGTAAATGTAGCATTGTCCATTATTTTTTGGGGAACCGAAATTAACTTTTAACTCGCTAATCAGAAATGTCTACATCGTAAGTAATGTGGTTTTAGATGTAAAATGTAAATGGAAAATATAAAATACATTAAAAAGTGCAAATATTTTGTAATTTTTGATGTACCTATTTTTGCAAAAATTTAAAAACGCCTAAGTTAACACAAAAATGAAGTGCAACATGTGTTAACTTTTACAACAACGTAAAATGTCGGAAGTTTTTCAAATTTTGCATGTATATGCAGTCATAGGCTACTTTCGTATTTACTCGAATATAAGACATTGTTTCCTACACATTCAAAAAATACAGGATCGTCATTTATGTGCAAATTGAGCCTAGTCTGTTATGATTTATCATTTCACACGGCCTTTCCGCGCCACGAAACGTGTAAATGGAGACGTAATGATAATCCGCGACAGTGATAAAATATCACGCGTATAGAATACCTAATTATATTCTTGACAAATTCCCGGCATCCTCCGCGAATTCGCTAGGCGACTCACCGATATATTTGCATGTGCCGGTAAAGAGACAATATCGAATGGCGTAGTACCAAGTGAAACGTAAGTTGAGAATGAGGAGAAATAGTTGCGGGGATTTTGTTACACGTTCCACAAGGTTGCGCGGATGTTTGTTTGGTTCGATGTCCGGCGAGTGCGACTCTGCTAGTGCAAATGAAAATATTAATGTTGATAGAAATAAACAATCTCCTTCCAACCGCAAAAGGATGACAAAAAATATTTTTTAGCAAGAACTTTCCGAACTTGGAAACTTTGAAATCTCCCACGTTACCCGCGAAGCGGAGGAACGGAACGGGAAATAACTGTTAAAGAAAGACCAACAACACGAGCGGGACTGGAGAAAATCTGGTGGCATAAAAGGAAATGTACTTCGATTGCGTCAGATTGAAGACATGCGAAAGCAAATCCAGAGAACTAAAATGTCGGAAGACTCCGCAGTATAGGGGAGATCTCCCCCCCCCCCGCACACACACGCACGCACAACAGGAAAGAAAGAAAGAACGATACATATGAAGAAGAAAAAGCAGGTAGTGACAAAAAGTATAATTATGTGTATGATTTTTAAGGAACAAGAAAATATTGGTTGCTCCGGCAATAAGTTTTAACATTCTCACCAACAAGGCCATTTTCTAGTCAATAAGGTCATTTGCAATTTTATTTGCACTAAATTGTAAAAGTTACCTTAAAGTTTAAAATATTCTCAGGAGGCCTCTTCAAAATTAAGTAGTCCTCTTATAACCAGAGTTGGCTTATATTTGGGTAAATACAGTATTGAAATCTAGATGTTGCAACAAAATAAAGGTAGACTAAGGTGTCCGTACATTTGTCATCACTTGACCCGAGATCTTCATGCACTAAAAAAGTTATAAATATGCTTGCAACCATGCACTTAAAATTGCCAATATATGGACTTAAAATTAAGAATTTGCATTAAACAAAAATAGTTAGCAACAGTTAACATTTATTTATATACACTTATTTAACATTGTAGTATAAAATTCATATATTAAAAATGTATTTTAAAACATAATGGTAAACAAAAATACTAAATGAGAGCAGTGTTCACGATGCCCAGTTCACTAAGTTAATTTGCTGTAGTTATTTTGACAATAAATCACTATTAACTTCTCTAATTTTCTACTGTACATGTGTCCTTTTGTCATTTAGAACCAATTTGAATGCAGAGATAGCTCTCTCCACATCACATAAAGTGAGTGGAGCATATTTAAACAAAGGAATGTTTTTAATATGTGTTACTCCCTCAGAGTTTTCCACAAGAATACTAGTAATACTTTTTATGATTTCATATCCACTGTTATCATTTAGGAAGTGATCCATTTTCATGGCCATTCTCTTACTTTGTTTTGGTACTGCAGATAAGATATCTTTCGCATTCTGCAGAATGTCTATTAATGAAATTGAGCAGGTGTATGTGCAAGGCAACTACCCGTGAATCTAGTTACACATAGTAAATGGATTCAAGAGTAAACAATCTTATCAGAAGACTATCGGAAATATTATTTTATATTGATATTGTAGTATCGCCCTGGCTCAATTCACTTTTCTTTTGAAAGAGACATTTCAACCATTTCATTTCAAATATTTGATTTTGAAGGGATATTTCAAACTTTCACCCACTTATTCACTAAAACGTGGAATGTTTGCAGTTAAAGATACTGCTTAAGTAAAAATATACAGTTAAAGAAAAAAATATCAGAAATATGCAATTATGCAAAATAGACAGGCTACTTTTTTTTTTTGTAGGTAAAAGCATTTCGTTTTGATATGTTCAAACTGTAAAAATATACAATTGCATGAAGTTCCATGATCTCATCATCTCTAAATTTTCAAAAGAATTATATTTTGTGTCATTTCTTTTTTTATCAGGGAATTACCATATTAATGGAAGTTAATTGTTTTGTACATAAGTCTATTGGAACCCCTTTCAAAATATTCCGGATGGGCCATGGTCCTTTTGCTCCCCCTCCCTATGTGCAAGTCTGTATGTTAGAGCACATTGAATGCAGTATATAAAATGTCTTGTTATTATTCATTTTTAAATATTTTTCCTGTAATGTCTATTCCCTTTGCAGGTCCATTCGACATTTGCAAGAAGCTTCTCACACAGATGGTAAAGCTGCTATCAATCTGAGGAAACTAAAACTGTTTCGCCACTTCTATATCATGATTGTGTGCTACATCTATTTTACTCGAATAATTGTATACCTTCTGAAGGTAAATATATTTCTTTGTATTCTCATTGGTTATTACATATGTTGCATTTATTTAACTTTGAATTGTTGTTGTTTTACTTCAGATTACAGTGCCTTTCCAATATGAGTGGCTGGATGAAATGTTCAGAGAAATGGCAACTTATGTGTTTTTTGTTCTTACTGGTTACAAGTTTAGACCAGCATCTGCTAATCCATATTTCCAAGTGACTACTGAAGATGATGATGAAGATATGGATGTTGTGTAAGAATTTTTAAAATGAATATATTATTCCTATTATTATTATTATTATTATTATTATTATTATTATTATTATTATATCCATTACTGTATTATGAATTCACATGAAAATAATATTGTTTCAGGGTAAGCCAATCAGGTCTAACTGAAGGTTTGAGTAAGATTGCTCGTACTACCAAAGTGATGGTGGATGAACCATCTGATGAAGAGAAGGACAATCTCCTCGCTAAACGAGAGAGTAGTCATGAATACGATTGATTGTCAAAAAACATTTGGGATTTTGAAACTTGCAACTCTTGATAAGATTTGAGTCTTGTGCACAGGTGTTGCTGAGATGACATAAGGAGTGAGATTTTAGATTTTTTTTTCTTTCTTTTGTAGATTCGTTATTGATAATTTAATTGTTTTATCTTAGGCCCCTAATATATTGTATATTTCAGAAATCTTGTCATTAATTTAAATGAAACTATTTTCTTGTAAATAGCATGTTTTTATAATCATGATTTTATAGTGAAAAGTATTTGAAATTTGTGTATGACAAGGTAGACTACCTTCAAGAGCGAGACTGTATTGTAAAATGCGTTAGAAGTTAATTCTTTACTTTTTGTTCTGAAGCACTAAACACATTTTTGTTATATATGTTGCTGCGCCGTGAATGTTTGTTGATGCCTGGGTGTGCTTAAGTAATATTGGTAATTGAGAATTTGAATATTTGATCACTATTGAATCTATAATCCACACTCTGAAGAGTGTATGTGATAAAAGCCTAGAATATACCATGTGTCTTGATGCATTTACATGCATTTTGATGTCCTCTAGATCAATGTCTTATATATAAATATGTGTGCGTGTGTGTGTATGTGAGATAAAATAGTAATCCTTATGTAATTTATTGCTTTTGTGTTGGTGGAGCCTACAATACAAACTAGGTGATTCTTTGGAGTTACCACTGTTGACTGATGTATGTTTGTACTTCTTGAAATGTAGCAATCTTGAACTGTGCTTGTATCTATTTCCTTGTAGGGTAAAATAAATGATCATATGTTCACGTTAAGTTGCTTCTAAGGATTCATCTCATGTCATATGAAGACACATACTCTGTATAAAATGTGTTGTAATAAAGTCCTTTCCGAAATATCTAATCCTTAATATATTTCCATTTTTTTGAGCACTCCATTGGCATGCCTGCGAAGATGACAAAAGACAATGTTCTAGGATAACTATTGTTGTTAGCCATCATTAACTATGTTAGTGATATATATGCTTGTCTTTAAAAAAGAAAGAATCTCTCATCTGGAATTATTTGTTTGTATGACACAAAAAACGCTTCAAGCAAAAAATTTTACACTTCAGAGAAAGTAATGTTTTCGTTCGGTAAATGGTTTGAATCTTACACCTCCCCCCCCCCCTCCATTCGAGATGTAATCTCGCCGCTGCGGGTCTGCGAACGGGGGCATTCTTGTACCGTAACTCGAAGCTTGTGTGTGTATGATTGAGCCGTCATATTCAAACATTGTTGAGCTGGACACTATAATGCCCAGGCAATTGTCTATAGAGGGGGTGGTCAAAATTCCATGTGCACTTACGTAGCACAGAATCAAATTGGTGGTGGCTCCCTGGGTTACGTGCTACCTAATGGATGTACTAATTGTATACATTTCTTAAAAATTAATGACACAATTTTAACATGGTGTATTATTCATTTAGAACACTGGCGGTTCCAGGGGACCACGGTCCGTCCTCACAAAAGACCAAGAAATTTTGTTTGCCTTCCTTTATTTGGCAACATTTATTAAACTTCTGTAGTGGTGCAACAGAATGGCACAGACTTTCCTGTAATAGTTTTCCATTTCCTTTGGTCTCTGCTAGCTATTCAGACTTGTCAGCTGCCATCTATTGCTGCCCAAAGTACTTTTTTTTTGGTTGTCATTAATTTTTGGATTTCCTAATAGAATGGAAATATTATTTTAAGAAGATTATATAACAGTAAAACCAAATTCTAAATGGCAATATCCTTTGAAAAATGTGGAGCTGGTTTTAAGCAACCTGTGTTTAAGCGCTGCTGTAAATTTGAAATTTGAAGCTCTTTTTCCAGATTTTTTTTTTAGTTTTCGGAAAACCTAATTCCAAGACATTTGAAACACATTAACTCAAATACTATAGTGTTTACAAATAGCTAGAAATGTGCATATTAATGGCGCGAGAGATCTTTTAAGAAAATTACATTTGTGTAATTTTTTTGGGGGGAAATACCCCAAAATTAACTTTACAACTTATTAAACTGTGCAATTAGCACTATTCGTTCGAAAAGATTCACGAAAAAATTGGAGCCATTAATGAGAAAATTGCGTTTGACCGTTTCTGGAAATGCGGAATTTTGAGCCAGTTTTCACCGAAAACTGTTGAGTTTTCGAGAAACTTTATATGGCATATTTAAAAGCACATGTACTCATTAATAAACACTGATGAGCCAAAAAACTGGGATAGCCCTGCGTATTGAAATAGAGAGATACGTAACTAATAAGAATACGGCGCTCTGGTCGGCAACGTCGGTATAAGACAACCAGAGTCTGGCACAGTTCTTAGATCGGCTACTGCTGCTACAATGGCAGGTTATCAGATTTAAGTGAGTTTGAACGTGGTGTTATAGTCGGCGCAAGATAGATGGAACATAGCATCTCCGAGGTCGCGATGAAATTTGGATTAACCCGTACGACCATTTCATGAGTGTACCGTGAATATCGGGATTCCGGTAAAAGATCAAAACTCCGGCATTTCTGCGGCCGCAAAAGATCGTGCAAGTACGGGACCCACGACAACTGAGGAGAACTATTACACGTGACAGAAGTGCAACCCATCCGCTAATTGCTGCAGATTTCAGTGCTGGGCCCTCAACAAGTATCAGGGTGCGAACCATTGAACGAGACATCATCGATATGGGGTTCGGGGCCGAAGATCTACTCGTGTACCCTTGATGACTGCACAACACAAAGCTTTACCCCTCGCTTGGGTCCGTCAACCACGATATTAGGGCCCTTTACACAGGGATTCTTAGCCGCGCATCTGACCGGGACGTTCCTGACCACGAGCTAGATCACGCGGGCAGGACCGTTGTGCGCAGAAGTGTGGTTCTTATTTCTGCCACGCTTCTGCGCGCCATTCAAGAATGTTTCGAGTAAAATCGTCCGTGTAAAGATTTCAGCAGCGTTCTAGAGCACGCTTTTGTGCGGCACGCGGAATTTCCGACGGTCCTCACGTGCTTTCCACGCTCACCGCTGCTGCTGCTACTCTGTGTTAGAGCAGTTATATATGTTCTGATCGTGTTGCATGTTATCCTGTGGTGTTTATATAGTGCGTAGTGAATCAGATTACTATTTTTTTCGATTAGCTTAATCAGAAATGTTGTCCGTTCACAATTATCGTAAAAGGAAAATTATAGCAGTGCTTAGAATTAGTGCCGCAATACTATACCAAGAGGAAATGGAGAAGAAAAATCGCACTGTTTTGGGTAAAAAGTTTCAGACAAAATTATTATGACATGCCGCTGTTAAAGGAATTAAAGAACTATTCTGATGACTTCCGGTACCCCTCATTTTTAACTTTTTTATTAGTATACACAGAACTCTTCAGGTTCCATAGACTAGGGCATTCCCTATATATGGAAGGAAACTCCCTCACCATATCCCGGCTCCAGCAACGAGTATCCGCCATTTCAAAATACCGCCCGGCTGGTCACCATGTCTACTCCCAACAAAACTCCCCGTGTAAATGCGAGCCACGCTTTTGCTCGCAGTGTTTCGGATAGCGCTCTTGCGCGCAAACCGAAGTTCCCTTTAGACGTGCGTTCTGAACGTGCACCTCAGTGGCTCGCTGCCCGGCGCGTCAAGAACGATGGTATAAGGCCGCCTATTGTCTCGAGCGGATGGACGTGTACGAGTATGGCGTCAACCTCATGAATCCATGGACGCTGCGAGTCAACAGGGGCTGTTCAAGCTGGTGGAGGCTCTCTGATGGTATGGGGCGTGTGCAGTTGGAGTGATATGGGACCCCTCTAGATACGACTGTGAGAGGTGGCACGTATGTAAGTATCCTGTCTGATCACCTATTCATGTCCATTGTGGTGTGATGTTATTAACCCTTAACCGGTCTGGTGAAAAAGAATTACTTTCCTTGGCTGGTGGGGTACGAGTAGACCCCGTTTTATAAAATGTAATTTTATTAAGAACTTGAAATTATAATTACAAATTATCACGTATGATTTCTCGCATTTCACGTGGGAGAGGACGGACACCGCGGCTTGAAATGTGTGGCTGTACAAGTGAACGCCCAAGTTCCATCAAAAGCCATTCTACGCGATTCTTTTTCGGAATCTTTATTGCAGTACTTGAAAATGTTAGTGACTACATCTGCTGTGTTAAGAATTGCATAAAGTATCACCATTGGTCCCCGACTGCCACCGAGTTCGCAGAACCACAGAGTAGTTGGCAAAAAGTTGGTCAAGTGCATCTACGCCCGCTTAGTGTTGTAATCATTGATCATATTGGGCCTTTTGTTTTGTGGATCGACCTTTTGGTCATGATGCATTGTTCATAAGGGGCCGCCAGACATTAACACTAAAGAGGGGGGAGGGGTTTGAGGGAACGTTATGCTGCGTTAAATAGGGGTAGGGAAGAGGTATTAGTGAAGTGTTACGTAGCGTTAATATTTTTTTTTCCTTTTTTAATATTTGCTGAAATAATTCCTTTTTGAGTCCTGTACAAAAAACATTAAGATATTGATTTTTTAACACATATAAATTAAAGTTATTAGTTGTAAATTGTTACAATAAAATGAAAATATTGCGTAATGCACTACGCCCTGAGGAAGGTCGCAGAATGGCGATCGAAGCCTTCGCCATGGACGCGGCGTCACCCGGACAGCCTAGTACATAAAAACATTTTCTCGCCCAGGCGTTCTTCCTTCATTCACAACTTGCCCCATTCTTATTGCTAGCTGCAGCCAGCATCGCCAACTAATTTCTACTTTGTCATTAATTTTAATACACAACACGAGTAAAACAGATACAAATTGTTTTTACTGTGCTATAATTTATTTTAACTTCTTGCATTTACAAGGCGCGGGGTGTTGTCGCAAGCGTCACGTTATTATTTAGGGGGGTTCAAGCGTGCGATAAGGTTGCGATACGGGGAGAGAGGGAGTATTGAAAATACCCAAAAATGCGTTACGTATTTTATGGACGGTCCCTAAGAGAACAACAGACTGATTCATAGATAAACGAATTAGACAAATCACATAAACCATATACAGATGAAAAAAAAACAACTTAAATATAATATTGAAATTTACTGACATTTCTTGTCTGGTGGGGTCTACACAGACATAATGAACCATAAAATATAATTTCGTTGTTATTTTAGACAAAAAACACACACGAACATTTGCTAGGGATCTTTTGGCGTGCGTTTGCTCTGAAGCTTCGCAGTGAAATCTCCACATACATAACAGGAATTGTCTGGCACAATAGTTCATTTATTTCAATCACCTGTGCCAGGAAAACACGGGCGAAATATGCACTTTGAACACAACCAAAAGACACTGAATGTGAAACACGCGTAGGCAATTCACTTTCCAAGAAGAAAAGACCTTCCAACAATGAGCCACGATGGCTACAGAGTTGTTTTTCATGTTAAAATGTGTTGAACATTATTTTTACTTTCTCGTTACGGAGTAGAATGTTATGCAATGCTGAGTCAAAAACGGCGAATCTTCAGCTCAGAAACTCTTATTACAGAGCCCTGGTTAACGAAAAGGTGGGTAAATTTAGAAAAAAAGAATCTGTAGCCAGAATCCCTTGTTTGTGGGTTCTTCATACCGAAAAATCGAATGATAGCAAAACGTCTGTCCGTCTGTCAACAAAGTTAGCGCCTAAACCGTTCAGCCGAGTTTCTCCAAAATTAATATTACCCAATCGATTAGACTGATGTCGCGGGTCCTAGAATTTGAAACCTTTATTTTATTTTTTTAGGGGGGGGTACTTCACATGAAGCGCCTGGGACATATACAAAATTTTAAAAAAATGGTTCCATACTTTTTTATTAAATTTTGTTGGATAATGTGAAGACCGTTTAAGAGAATGGCGCAAGTCT